GCAGACGAATGGATGAGGAAGCTGTGGTACATATACACCATGGAATATTACTCAGCCATTAAAAAGAATTCATTTGCATCAGTTCTAATGAGATGGATGAAACTGGAGCCCATTATACAGAGTGAAGTAAGCCAGAAAGATAAAGATCATTACAGCATACTAACACATATATATGGAACTTAGAAAGATGGTAATGATAACCCTATAAGCAAAACAGAAAATGAGACACAGATGTACAGAACAGACTTTTGGACTCTATGGGAGAAGGTGAGGGTGGGATGTTTCAACAGAACAGCATCTAAACATGTATATTATCAATAGTGAAACAGATTTCCAGCCCAGGTTGGATGCATGAGACAAGTGCTCGGGCCTGGTGCACTGGGAAGACCCAGAGGAATCGGATGGAGAGGGAGGTGGGAGGGGGGATCGGGATGGGGAATACATGGAACTCCATGGCTGATTCATATCAATGTATGACAAGACCCACTTCAATATTGTAAAGTAATCAGCCTCCAACTAATAAAAATAAATGAAACAAAAAAAATTTTTTTTAATAAAAACTGAAAAAAAAAAAAAGATGAGATCACCTTGACAACGCCTTACATCCAAGGACCAGTGTCCTTACGAGAAGAGGAGAAGACAGAGAGAGACACAGAGATAGCCATGTGACCATGGAAGGGGGTGCTGGAGTGACGCACTGCCTGGGCCACCAGAAGCTGGAAGAGGCAAGGTTCTCCCCTAGAGCCTACAGAAGGAGCTTAGCCTGCCGACACCATGAATTCAGACTGCCGGCCTCCAGAACCATGACAGACACATCTCTGTGGTTTTTAGCCACCTGCCTCCTGGCTCTTTGCTGCGACAGCCTTAGGAAAGCGCTCTGAGCGCTGTGGCCTCACTGTGGGCCCCAGAGCCCTCTGAGGCATCATCCTTTCTGCCTGGCTTCCCTGGGGGCTCAGACAGTAAAGAATCTGCGTGCAACACGGGAGACCCGGCTTTGATTTCTAGGCCAGGACGATCCCCTGGAGAAGGAACAGGCAACCCACTCCAGTATTCTTGCCTGGGAAATCCCACGAACCGAGAATCCTGGTGGGATACAGTCCACGGGGTTGCAAAGAGTCGGACAAGACTGAGTGGCTAACACATGTGTCATGTCAGCATATATTTCTTGGAAATCGGACAAGTGCCAGGTCCCATGGCTACATCTCCCACCCGTGAGAACACCCCACGGGACACTCAGGAGCCCTAAATACCCTGAGCCCCCAGCCCAGGCCCCTCACCCACGTGATAAAGAGCGCCTCCAGGCTGCCCTGGTACCCCGCCAGCAGCAGAGGGATGGAGTCGTACACCTGGTCCCGCAGGGCATCGCTGGGCAGGAGGAGGTTCAGCATGGGCTTCAGGGACTTGATGACCCCCAGCTTCACCTAGCACAGGAGCCTGGTCTCTAGACCCCTCGGCCAGGACCACCAGGAAGGGTCTGTGACATCAGCCCCAGCCTCAGAATCAAGGACAGGTGACTGAGGGGACCTTGGAGTAGGGTGCAGGCCTCCCCCGGGGCCCCCAAGCTGCCAAGCCTGTCCCCCAAGTCCTGACTCTCACTCAGGACACCTTGGACAGGTGCTCAACCTCTCTGTGTCTCTGTTTCCTCATTTGTAAAATGGTCCTATGACCCGGAGTTGGCGTGGAAATGGCTCCCACAAGTGCACCGCTCGGAGAGTGCCCGGCACACGTGGAACAGGGACCCTGGTCCAGCAACTCCAGGGGCCTTTATCAAGACACCTGCAGGGCCCCCCGGCTCTGCCGATCAGGTCTCCACCTCCTTGGACCCAGTGGTGTCTCAGCCCCGCCAGCTGCACAGGCTGGAGAGCAATGACCCGAGGACCACGGGCTCCCACCCCCACCCGGGAGGGCCCGTCTCACCTCTGGGGTGTTGTTCCGCAGCCACACCGTCACGAAGTAGCGATACATGGGGAACAGCTTCAGTGCAAACTGGTCCTCAGTCATCACGGGGTACACGCTGTCCTCCAGGTGCCTCAGGTAAAACTGCACCGTCTCGCAGAAGGTCTCCATGGCTGCCCCGGGGCACGTGCAGTGAGCCTCGAGGGCCAGGACGCAGAACAGAGCCTTCCGGGGCGGCTTCTCAGGAGGAGCCCTCACACTTCCGTAAGCAGCAGGTTACTGAGATGGCCAGAGATGCTGCTAGAAAAGTCTCCTGCAGCCCTCTCCATCTGCCTTTCCGACCCCCCTCTCAGCTCCTTCAGTTTGGTCCTGCATGAAGCC